GTCCTTATCCTTGAGTGACATCTCATGAGCAACAATTCTTCCAATGACTTCCGTTGGCTTGAGATCTTTGTAATTGGGCATCATTTGGATCAATGTGCATACGGTATCATATTTTCCATCCAACGCTCTTAGGATCTTCTTGATGATGAATTTGTTGGTCATCTCTTCACTTCCTAAGCCGGCAATCTCATTTGTGATAAGAGCAAGCCTAGAGTACATTTCAGCGACACCTTCACCATCCTTCATTTTGAACTTGTCAAGTTGACTTTGAAGCACGTCCAACTTGGATTCCTTGACGGAGTCGGTACCTTCGTGCATATCAATCAAAGTATCCCAAATTTCTTGTGCATTCTCAAGACGGCTGATTTTGTTGAATTCTTCGGGGCACAATCCGTTGAAGAGGATATCACAAGCTGGAGCATTGTATTGCAGCAAACCTGAGCATTGTAAGTACCCTGGGCTCTTACAACCATTGCATGTACCAGACTTTGCTTGGTGCCATATTAGCATGGATTTCATTGAGGGCCTCCCTGTGTCGCATAACAAGGATATGATATTGGTGGTAGTTGATAGATTCACTAAGTATAGCCTTTTCATCGCCCTCAAGCATCCAATCACTGTCAATACTGTGGTGACCACATTCATGAAACACATCTTCAAGCTTCATGGTTTACCTGCTGTCATTGTTACTGATAGAGACAGAATATTCACCAGTCAACTCTGGCAAGGTTTGTTCAAGAAGATGGGAGTAAAATGCACCTTAGCACTTCATATCACCCTCAATCAGATGGCCAAACGGAAAGGGTTAATCAATGTTTGGAAAACTAGCTCAGATGCATGGTTTTCCTAAAACCAACAAAGTGGGTGAATTGGCTACCCATGGCGGAATGGTGGTACAACACTTCTTACCACACCTCCCTAAAGATTACTCCCTTCCAAGCCCTCTACCACAGAGCTCCTAATATGCTGGCTGAAACTGCTCTTTATCCTGAAGATGCCACTACCACATTTCCTGATGTTCTAACAGCGGAACAAACAGCTGCACATATCAAACAAAGTCTCCTAAGAGCTCAAGCCAGAATGAAGCACTATGCAGATAAGAAGAGATCGGAAAGGACATTAGAAGTGGGGGACATGGTTTATCTGAAACTACAGCCATATAGACACACCAGTCTCAACATTCACAAATGTTTGAAGCTTCACTCTAAATATTATGGCCCCTTCAAAGTATTACAAAAGATTGGAACTGTTTCTTACAAGCTATTGCTACCGGATGACTGCAAGTTACACCATACCTTCCACATCAGCCAGTTGCAAAATCACTTGGGCCCTATAGCCATCCCAAACCCCAAGTTACCCCTCCTCAACCCAAATGGCACCATACTTCTTGAACCTGAGCAGCTGCTGGACAGGAAACTCATCCCAAGGAAACAAGGTGACATTGAAATTCCTGTGGTGCGTTGGCTCATTAAATGGATCAATTTACCACTTGAGGAAGCCATCTAGGAAGATGCTGCGTTCATCCAGAAGGTTTTTCCCTCTTTCAAACCCTGAGGACAGGTTTGGTCTCACTCGGGGGGAGTTGTCAGGACACGGCTACATATCTGAAGAATTGTCCAAGCCAACAAACACTTTTAGTTAAGTTGAATGCTGTAGATTGTGCACGAAGCAACGGTGGCCATCAACGTGAGATCCAACGGCCCGCCTTCATCTGTACCGCTTCACCGAGTTATGTTGAAGTCGATGCCGTTGATTCAACATCGGACGATGCTCAACACCGCGTGAGTCGTTGTTCCCTTTCCGACATGGCACCCTGGGGGCTCACCAACTCGGTTACTTTTCTTTTTCCCTTTCTTCCGATTTTGTAAGGCTATAAAGCCAACTCTCCTTGTCGGAGGAGATCATCGAACCATTTTCTAGGGTTTCCCCCTTTCCGCCGTCAGTATTCCTGGCCGGCTTGTAATCCTGTAGCTCTTGGAAGAACTCCAATCATTCCTCTGAAAGAGAGGTAGAACAGCTAGTTGACTCTAAAACTCTGAATTTGTTCATCAGTCTCACTCGGGCCTGACAACAACCAACCCCGACGGCACGTACGTCTCCCCCTGATCGTCCCCTACCGCACCCCCTGCCCTCCTCGCCGTCATACCCCCCCCCTCCCTGTAGCTCCACCATGTCCAAGCAAGAGTGTCGCTGGAGCTCTACTTTTCGAATACCAAAAGGAAGTATTCGTGTAGAAGTTTTTGTTTGAGACCACAAACCTCGTGATTGTAAAGAGTAGATGATTCCTCTTTTAATGTTGATCGCAACGTTGAAACTACAGCTCTAGGCATAACCATACTTGTGTCAATCAAATAGAGGTGTGTCATCTTCATCACCTGATAGAAACCAAACAAGTAAATGAGCTGGATGGAAAGATGCCTTTCACGCCAACTCATGTTGTAGATACATATATGCAAAATCAAGATTTATAAAACCAGCTGGTCTACCCAGTTATAGAGAGCACTTGAGTGGTGTGAGGCTTTGTGACCATTCGATTTCACCTCTTCAGTTTGACAATTTCACTTCTATTGTTAATTTGTTGGGCTGCTGCACGTGGGCCCATATTCTCCTTGTGTTGCTATCAGATATGGGTGGGTAGATTTATTGGTCAATTACAGGAGGTGAAACACGGTGAATACCTAGCGCACCAATCCCCTTCATTACAACCTGACGGTTAAACCATTGCGCATCGAGATATGTTTGTCTTTGTTTCCAGAACAAACCCCATAAAACATAATATTCTTGCTCTGGCAATGAGTGAAACTGGGAAAGATAGCGAGGAAGCTAGTACCTACTCATGGGGCGGGATGCTTCCACACAACGTTCCCTTGTCTCACTCGTGGTCGGATCCATTTAGTTACCATTGAAATTAAGTTTGTGTTTTTCCATTTGAGATATTGCAGTTGAACAAAGGTAGAGAGTTAAAATATATTGTACTTGGGTGATGGTGGATTAAAAACATAGGTTGCCATTAGTTTTCTCAAGCAATGAAAACAAAAAATTAGTTCAAATATTCAAATAGCCGTATGAGGTGGTTAGTAGAGCTCAAATAGCAGACTTCAAATAATTGAGGGGATTATAAGATCACCTCTTCCTGATTATCCTCTACTGAATGCAAATCGAGGTGGTCTCACTCACTATAGTTCATGTTGAGCAAGAGTGTGCACCTTCCCTCTGTATCAACATGTCATCACATTTTACACTGGCCAAAAGAGGAGGAAAAAAATCAGTAATCGGACATAACCATATTCATCCTAACCGATGATTGCGCAGAGTGTGTAATCATAAGTAATCAACACATTAGATGATGGTGCGCCGAGTGTGCAATCATAAGTAATCAACACATTAGATGATGGTGCGCAGAGTGTGTAATCATAAGTAATCAACACATTAGATGATGGTACCCCAAAAAAATTGAAAGATGGAATGAGAAGATGAATAAATCTCATGAAAAGATTAATGGATCGTATCAAATTGCAATATTTCATGCTCGGATAATACATGAAAATGTCGATCAAACTAATAACTTCGCGACATCTGCTATCACAAATGGTAATAGGACGACACCAAAATATTCTCTTATCCAATTCCACTCTCCTAAATAAAAACACCAGGAGTGCAACATGACATTGTTCTCATTTCCTTGGAAGTAATAATAAACTACGAAAGTACTAAAGAACCAATCGTTGGAACCGGAGAACTCGCCTAGGACTGAGAGAACATCCATTGCTACCTCCGAAGGTCAGAATCATCTAATATCTGGCAAAACACCACAAGTCTAAATTCACACCCAACAACTCTGAGGGTGTCCCAATCCTAGACAACCTGCTCGTCTGAGAGGCCAAGAAACAACAAGCAACCCAGAACAAAAGAACCCCCCCTCCACCATCCCTTGGCGGCGATCACTTCACCACTTAAACACAACACAAGCCGAGAAAATAATAGTGGAGGCGTCGTGGCATGCATAGTATGGGTAAGGAAGGCCTATCTGCGACATAGAAATAAATTAGAGAGAAAGAAATCAGGAGCTCAAATTAAGAGATCTGAAGAACATATTTGCATAGAAGTGTTGTTTTCCTTATTTCAATGTGATCAGGAAAAAACTGTAATCAACTTTCAGAAAAGAAAATTATATGTACATAAATGTTTATTGTTACAGAAGTGTGAGCTGCAAATCATGTATATGTAAATTATTAGTGTTACAGAAGTTGGAAAACTAACAATAGTTCTCATAAATCATTAGAATGTGGTGGCATCAAATAACCTCTTTGTTGGTTTCAGAACCTAGTGCGAGTGTTCATAGCACGAATGATGATGTGAATGAGGCGCCATCCAGCATATTTTTTGACAAATGGACAGCCGGATTTGTGCAGTTCGTCTCCATCTGGTTCGGCGCCGAATAGGCCCGCCCTTGTTCTTGCTCTATTGCATCGCCAGGAAGGCCGGCGCCAAAGGCATCTATTGCATCGCCAGGAAGGAAGGCCGGCGCCAAAGGCATCTATTGCATCGCCAGGAAGGCCGGCGCCAAAGGCATGACTCGTAGATTCACAACAAACATTTGGATTTGGAGCCGGCACCTTAAGCTTGCACTCCCACCATATACAAGCTCTTCTTCGTTATAGACTCTTTAGTAAGCACTTTAAGAGTAGCAAACAGACATTTTAAGAGTAGCAAACATGTGTCTGAACCAGTTGCTCAACTGCAAATCTAGATACAGGCTGGATTTGCTCCACAATAACATCAGAGGCAAAGCACGCCAGTCACTTTGCCCCAAGATTATTCAAAGTTTGATTGCTAACTGGGAAAGCAAGATACAAAAGAGCAGCATGACTATATCGCAAATGAAGCCTCAACATACATACAGTATCTTATTACAATACATATATCAGAGTAGAGATAGAGAGGGTAAAGCAGGCAGACCAAGTAGGACATGGCCTGAGAGCAGACTATTATGGCTCTCATCAGAGCACAGACTTGATCAAGTTGGTTCCGTGACTCCTGCAAGATCTGGATTTATGCTTAATCATACGCACACCAGCAATCCCGTTGCTGTTCCCATTGGCATTGCCTTTGGAGTCGCCCTTGCTGTTGCTGTTGGCTTTGCCCTCATCATTGTCATTGCCGGGTAACACTAGCTCCATGCCGGTGAAGACAGCAAATATGTCGTCAACCAACGAATGGCCGCAGCGCTCATCGAAGTCCTTAGTTTCAACGAAGTTGGTGACGCAAAACCTGCCTGAACCCAGGCTGACAACTTCGGTGGAGCACTGACTGTGCGGGTACCACCCCTCTGGCATGTCAGTATCCTCCCAGATTCGAGTGTGCTCCGGCAGCGGCTCCTCCCCTCTGAGGACACCGGAGATGTCGGCGACGCAGGGGAGGTGGATGTTGCGCTCAGAGACGCCAAGACAGAGGCCGAGCTCCGGGTCATACTCCGCCCTGCCATGAAACGGCATGAGCCAGTTGCCAGCCTTGCTCCACTCGCAAGCCAGCGTGTCAAAGCAGTAGGTGCCGACGCCCCTGATGGAGATACAGATGGTGTGGCCACCAACCAGGGCATAGGAGTAGATGGAGGCTTGTTTGTAGGCCGGGTCGTGGACGAAAGGCGGCGGCGGGAGGGCGTCGCAGTGCCAGGCCTTGCTGGAGTGGTTGCAGCGCCTGCGGTACGAGATAGACTCAAACTGGACCTGACCCTCCTTGTTGGGCCTGAGGATCCTGTCCATGATGTAGAGGCCTCCGCCTTCGCCTTCGCCTTCCTTGGAGGTGGTCGGATTTGGAGGGATGGAGAAGGACAAGGGGTCGGACTTGGGCATGTGGAGGCTGGGCATGGTGTCGATGCAGTGGGTGTCGGCATCGAAGCGGAAGATGCTCGCGGAGCTGTCGGTGAAGAAGAGCTTGGTTTCAGTGAGAGGGAAGCAATCCATCTCGCCCCATCGATCGTACCGAGTCTTGGCGCATTTCTATGGTTTCATGTTCACCATCGGTGCCGGTGGCCGAATATACATCGGCTTCTTCTTCTTGTTGTGCCCCGCCCCCGCCGAGGAGTTAGCTGATAGGGTTGACTTGTCGGGCATGCCTGTCAATGGAGGCACCACTTTGGCATGTTCCGCTGCTTCTTCTGGTGTTGGGTAGAAGAACTGGTTGTGGGACAGGTCGAAGCGCCGCAGCATGTACGTGAATTTCTGGCAATCCGACACCAGGATGTTCAAAAACCGCCGGGCGCTCATCTCCGATCAATCCAACACCTCAAAGATCCTCTTTCCTTCCTGCAGTAGTTAGATTCAAAAGAAATGAGGAACAACAAATTACTAGATGATACCGACCCAAGGAATAAGAAGCAGACGGCCGACTGATGCAGAACGGCCCAAAGAACAAGAAGCAGACGGCCGACCTGGTGGAGAACGACGGTGCCGCCAGGGGAGGGGGAGGCGAGATTGGGAGCTCCTATTGAACGCTTGTTGCGTCCAACAGGGCGCCGACGCACAGGGGGCGACGCGACAGGGCCAGCCCAAACTAAGGAACAACAGTCGAAGAAACACGGCGCCGACGCGACTGGGCCAGCCCAAGCTAGCGAACAGCAGTCGAACTAAATTTTTTTTGAGGCTTTTGTAAGAATCAAACCCTGGATTTTTTTGAGAATTTTTTCATTCATATCATGAATCAGTACAAAGTAGTTGACCCTTACAAGCACACTGAAACGCAAACACAAAGAATCATGATGTAACGCCCTGGATCCGTTGCGCCAGGTGTCCGCCAGTTATTCGCCGTCGTTGCCATGTCTTTTGCTTGCGTGTTGCACTTTGCCATGTCCTCATATGCATTTCATATCATGTTATCATGTGCATTTCATTTTGCATACGTGTTCGTTTCATGCATCCGAGCATTTTCCCCGTTTTCCGTTTTGCAATCCGACACTCCTATGTCCTCCGGCGTCCCCTTTTTGTCTCTCATTGTGAGCGGGTATTAAACTTTCTCGGAATGGCCCTAAGTTTGCCAAGCGGCCTTGGTATAGCACCGGTAGAGCACGTGTCAAGTTTCGTGCCATTTGGAGGTCGTTTGATACTCCAACGGTTAACCGGGTAACCGTAAAGCCTCTTTTGTCTTGCAGCCCAACACCCTTCCAAAGTGGCCCAAAAACCAGAAAACTCCCCTCCATGCTCTCGGCCGTTCGATCACGATCATGTGGGCGAAAACCGCACCTCATTTTGACTCTCCTAACTCCCAGAATCTATAAATAGGTGCCCCCCTCCAAATTCGCGGTCTAATCCTACCCTAACCCTAGCGTCTTCCTCCTCGCGCTACCAAACACGTCCGCCCGCGCCAGACATGTCCGCCGGACACGTCGCTCCGGCCAATCCCGTCGCGCCACGTCAGCAACCCCGCCGCCGCAGCCACTCGGGCGCCGCCACCTCGCCCTCTCTCTCTCTCCACCCCGCCGCCAGGCCCGCTGGGGCCCATCGCGATCCCGCCTCGGGCCGCCCGGGCCCGAGCCGCCCGTCGCCGCGCCCTGCAACCCGCGCGTCTGTCGGACTTCGCCGCTGTCCGCCGCCTCGTCGGCGCCGCACGCCTCGCCGCCCGC